TAACAAAGTTGGTGTCAGTATAGAAGGAATTTGAAGAAGTGGTAGTTTTCTTAGTTTTGGGTCAGTGTGGGTGGTGCTTTATATATAGACAGGTAGCAGTGGCTCTGAGAAGAGAACCACCTTCCCAAGACTGTCATGGCTGTGGAAGGAGGCTGAGAGTCTTACACTTTTATGAATCATTTGGGCTTTAAAATTTTTTTAATTTCAAAATAATTTCATACTTACAGAAAAGTTGCAAATATAGTGCAAAGAATTCCTGCGTATCTTTCATCCAGATTTGTGAAGCATTTATAACATTTTACCAGGATTTCTTCTATGTATATACACATACATATTATTTTCAGAATCACTTGAGAGTAAGTTGCCAATATGATACCCTTTATGAATACTTCAAATGCATATCCTTTTAAAAATTTATGTGACAGAGAGAGAAAGTGTATGTGAGCAAGCAGAGGGGAGAGGCAGAGGGAGAGAGAAACTTTAGCAGACTCCCCACTGAGCACAGAGCCTGATGCCAGGCTCTGCCAGGCTCCATATCACAATTCTGAGATCAGGACCTGAGCCGAAACCAAGAGTCGGATGCTCAACCAACTCAGCTGGGCCACCCAGATGTCTCCAAGATCTGGATCCTAAAATCAAGGGCATTATCATAGTATTATTATCAAAATTAGAATATGTAATTTTTAATTTAGCAAATGTTTGCTTACTTCAAGCAAAGTGTAGGTGAAGTGAAAGTATAGTCTAGAAACTATACTTTCTATCCTATGGTATAGAAACAAGGTGCTTAAGGGAATTAAGCAGTCTACTTAATGGGTAATAAATCAGTAGAAAAAAATACCCTATTTTGGAATAACATCTGTGATGTAATAAGATTTACACAAGGTATTCTGTACTCTAGAAATATGAAAAAAAAAAACAAACAGTCATTTAACATAGGGAATCAGGGAAATCATTCCTAACAGTGCAGAGTAAGCCTGAGAGGTAAAATTGCCCCGTTGAAGGACAGTGGGAAGGAGTCACATCCCAGAATTCATCCTTTATCTTATTTCCGCCCTTGACAAAGTTCTGAGGATGAATGTGCTATGGCAATAACTTAGTACTGAAATATCAGGAATTCATAAGATAGGACAGGTTCTATTTCTACAAAAGTTGATATAGTACTTTTTTCCTTTAACAAATTTTAACCCTAACATTATTGGGCTAATTTCCTTTCCTAAGCACGTGTCCCTCTGTTGTTTTAATAATACCTTCTCAGTTATGAAAGACAAGAAGTAATGGAGTTGATTAGCTGTAATTACTTTAAAGGAATGGAAGGAATGTTTTTAAAAACTTAATTAAGCCACTGTCAATCTAGAGCTTAAGGGAGAGTCACTGTTTTATATTTCTAGCATTTATATGTTAAATTTTATGCGTGTAAGCTATTCTTGCATTCACTATAATCTTCCGGAATTAATCAGAAAGGGCTTTATATAATTTTCAGACTTTGCTAGTTTAAGGTAAAAGGGAGTGAAAGGGGCATACTTAGACTGATAATACGATTGCAGCAAAATTTTGAAAATCCAGTTACTGCAAAAAGCTTATGATTAGGTGGTTTCTTCAGTATTAAAATTTTATAAATTGTTTTAGAATGAGGTTTATAGTACCAACCACGTTTATGTGGAATGTTACTGAACTGTTTCACAAGTCTTTATTTCTTAAGCAGATGTTTTAAGAATTTCATATAAATGTTTAAATGTGGATTTTTAGGTTTTTGTTACTTTTTTTTAAGTTCACATATGCATTCAGTGTTGTACATGTTAATATTTGGTTATTTGGCAAGGGAATTTCCATAATGGAATTTCAGACTCTATTTGATAATACGTTGTTTCTTTCGCAAGCTGTTACTTCTTGTTTTTTGGTTAAAAAAAAAAGTAAAGGATTTTTTTTTTTAAAGGTTTATTTATTTGAGAGAGAGCGTGTGCACGTGCTCGCTTGAGATAGGGGAGGGGTAGGGGGGAGAGGGAGACCAGCAGACTCCCTGCAGAGTGGGGAGCAGACACGGGGCTCTATCAGATGATCCCTGAGATCATGACCTGAGCTGAAATCCAGAGTTGGACGCTCAACCGACTGAGCCACCCAGGTGCCCCTAAAAGGATTTTTTGATGTTTTTTTTCTTGGTATCTATTTTCCTAGTTTTTCTTTTTAGAAATGAATGCATTTGACAGCATCATACTAAAAGAGCTCTAATTTATATGAATTTGACTTAGAATGAATTTACTTATCTGATTTTGAATCCTTCAGCCTGGTCTTTAATACCTTTGGATAATATATGCAAAATCCTTTTTTTTTTTTTTTTTAAGTTTTTAGTGTTAGGAGTTTGGGGTCAGGGAGCCCAAGTAGATGATGATATGTATTACAATTGCAGAAGAACAAAGTATGTTTTGAGCAGGCCAAAAGCATACTCAACTTTCTTCAGTGTCCTTTTTTAAGCCCAGTATCTTAGTATATACATTTTTTTTATGTTTCTAAGCTGTCTTCATAATTTTTTCAATGGCTCTTGTGGAAATTTTCCTGCTGCTTTGTGTCCTATTCATGATTCTGAAATTCAAAGATGAGTTTGGTCTACAAAAATTAAAAACATAACATGGAGTAGTTTTACTACTTTATATTTTATATTTTTGGCCCCCAAAAGTACACTGATCTTACATTTTTGACTATTACTATAAAAGACCTGCATATGTATGTGTGTGTGTGTATGTATGTGTGTGTGTGTGTGTGTGTGTATATATATATATATATGTTAGCTCTTTAGAATCCTCTTATCAGGGGCGCCTGGGTGACTCAGTCGGTTAAGCGTCTGCCTTCAGCTCAGGTTGAGCCCCGCATCTGGCTCCCTGCTCAGCGGGGAGCCTGCTTCTCCCTCTCTCTCTCTGCTTGCCCCTCCCCCTGCTTGTGCTGTCTCGCTCTTTCTGTCAAATAAATAAATAAAATCTTAAAAAAAAAAAAATAGAATCCTCTTATCAAAGGAGGGCATTCCCCAGCCATGGTTAAGTAACCCAAAACAGCTTTATCTCTAAATCTTAATGTAGTCTATTTTCTTTAACAATGCCCAGTATTCACTGAACTGATGTACTGTTCTCTTTTCTTTCTTTCTTTTTTTTTTTTAATGTACTGTTCTTACTTAAATCATCAGTCACTTCTGGTTATTTAAATTCCTTTTATTTAAAAAACCATAACTAATGTATTTATATAGATATTTTGTTTCCACTGAGTGAAATCACTAGATTTAGACCAGAAAACATGATTATTATTTTCAGAGGATTTGTAAGTGCTGTGTATCACTCTTACGGAAACTAAAATCGAATAGTTACATCCGGGATTATAATACAAAAAAACTGTAATTTAGAATTAAACTAAAGTTTCCATTATTTCATGATGCTGCCATGAGGGAGGTGGCAACATGGTAAAACTTAATGTGCTGTGTTCCTTGCTTGTAACAATTAGCTTTTCTCTTACACATCCAGAAGGGTACTAGTTAGGTATATCCTTGAGAAACTTAGTACAATAATAACTCAAATAATTCTTCATCTCTTCAGTATAGCTCTCATGTATAGCTCTCAAGCATGGCCAAGTGCAAGTCACTTAATGTCTTTTTTCCCTTAGTTTTGCCATCCTTAAAAAAGGTGATGTTAGAGGGGCGCTGGGTGGCTCAGTGTCTGCCGTTGGCTCAGGTCATGATCCCGGGGTCCTGGGATCAAGCCCGCATTGTGCTCCCTGCTCAGTGGGGAGCCTGCTTCTCCCTCTCCCTCTGCCTGCCGCTCCCCCTACTTGTGCTCTCTCTCTGTCTCTCTTTCTCTCTCTCTGTCAAATAAACAAAATCTTCAAAATAAATAAATAAGTAAATAAATAAGGTGATATTAGAATCTATCTTCCAGGATGATGATATGTTCAAAGTGCCCAGCACTATAATTTGTACCTTCAAATCTTGCTTTCAGGTTTGATTTAGTACCGTACTAAAGTAGTTAACTGCTATATGGACATCAGCCTTTACTAACACTACTACTTCATTACTTAAATGTTCACTGTATTGGAAATGGTATAGTAGTCCTCCCTTTTCCACGGTTTTGCTCTTTACAATTTCAGTTACCCATGATCAGTCAGCTCTAGTTTGGAAGCAGATGATCCTCCTTCTTACATATTGTCAGAAGGTCAGTAGTAGCCTACGCCATTCACCTCACTTCATCTGCTCACATAGGCATTTCATCATCTCACGTCATCACAAGAAGAAGGATGAGTATAGTATAATATTTTGAGAGAGATCCCACATTCACATAACTTTTATTACAATAGTTGTAATAGTTCTATTTTAGTTTTCATTATTTTTTTAATCTCTTACTATGCCTAATTTATAAATTAAACTTCATCCTAGATATGTAGGAAAAAACATAGTATATATGGGATTTGTACTATCTGCAGTTTCAGGCATCCACTCGGGGGGTCTTGGAATGTATGCCCCATGGATAAAGGGGGACTACTGTATATTACAGGGAGTAAGAATACAGGATCTGAAGTCACAAATTGCTTTCGTTGGAACTCTGCCACTTTGCTGTGTGATTTGAGGCAAATTATTTATCCCTTTAACCTTGGGTTTGCAAGCATAAAATGAGATTATAATAGTAATAAATTTAAATGGATTTAAATGGAGTTGTATTTAAAAGTGCTTAACACGATTTTTGACACATTCTAAGCATCAGTAAATGTTTGCTTTCCATAGTTATTTTTAGTGTAGATATTGTGTTATTTACTACTGCATAAGAAATTACTTCAAAAAGTAATGGCTTAAAGTAACAATAAATGTTAATATTATCTCCTTGTTTCTGTGGGACAGGAAATCAGGACCAGCATAGCGGGGTGGTTTCTGTTGGATGTCTCTCATGAGGTTGCAGTGAAGATGTCAGCAGGGGCTGTGGTCATCTGAATGTTATTTTGAACCTAATGGCTATAAATTTTATATTTTCCAGACTATGTCTTCAGCAGTGGTACAGTTATATGCAGCAGATCGTAACTGTATGTGGTCAAAGAAGTGCAGCGGTGTCGCTTGTCTTGTTAAGGACAATCCACAGAGATCTTATTTTTTAAGAATATTTGATATTAAGGTGAGTTTTGTTTTGTTTCCACTTTAAACTGTAGGTGAATAGATTTTTAACCTCAGTTATAATTTATATATATACTTATATATATTGTTATATATATAATTTTTGTTCATCCTGTATGTATTGTTAAATTATACTTAATACTAGAAGAGTGAAGCTTGGTTTTAGATAATGAAGCATGGGCATTGCAACCGAACAGGAATAGGTCGTAAGCCAGAACATGAATAGTTCCCTATTTTATCTTTCCACAGCCAGCACACATTAAAGGATTTTTTTGTTTTTGTTTTTAATACCTTTACATCTTGGGCTTTCCTTATATTTTCTCTTTTTCTAATGGTACTCTTTTATTCCATTTTGTCCGTTACAGAGTAGCATTTATAGTCCTTTCAGGGAACTATAGAAGTATATTTTAGTTTAGTATGTACTGTTAGTTACTTCAGCCTAGGTTTAAAGCATGATACAATATCTATAATAATGTGTTTGCTACCCATTTTTCCTTATGTTGTCTCAACATAGGTATGTTCAGATTTTCGCAGCTTTGTACCTCTCACATTCAAACACAAATTCACATTGTCCCAGATTCAATGCCCATTCTCAGGTATTCACCCTCTTAACAGTTACCGTAGAAGTAATTACCTTTGTGCAGAGATGAAGTCTCCATTTATCTTTTAAAACCTTTTCTATAGGGGACGTCTAGGTGGCTTAGTCTGTTAAGCGTTTGTCTTTGGCTCAGGTCATTGGGATCGAGTCCTACATTGGGCTCCCTGCTCAGCGGGGAGCCTGCTTCTCCCTCTGCCTGCCTCTCTCTTTCTCTCTCTAACAAATAAATACATTTAAAAAAAAAACCTTTTCTATAGGTAGGCTTTTGTAATATTTATATGATATGGCAATACGTATAATGGAATAATTACCAAAAATAAACTGACTTTGAACTCTCCTGGATGATGCTTAAGGATAGATTGTAGTCAAACTGTTTTACTTCTCTGGGCCTTGGCTTATTTATTTGTAAAATGGGAGAACCATTTGGTTCTAATGCAAAGTGTTTCCCTGAGATTGAATAAGATTTAAGTTACTGTACTTTGTAACTTTGTGCTTCTTCTCCATCCCCCAGGACAGCTGAGAGACATGGCATACTCCTGTAGTGGTGGCTCACTATGGCAGTGATTCTAGGGGATAGGGAACACATGCACGTTTCGAAAGAAACTGTGTAGTTTTTTTGACATATTTCTCATCACCAGTGAGAAGCACTGTTTAGAAATCAAGTGCGCATATAACTCCACTGAGAAGAAAGGAATTGCTTTATATGTGTGTACAGTGTTTTCTGAATATCTTTAAATCATGGTCTGGGTAGAACTTTGATTTCGGAATAGGGCAATACTTATATTTCTCTAACCACTTATTTCTAATTGTAGATAACCAATGCTGAATACTTGCAGTTAGCCACCTTTGGTGTTAGGTTAATTGTATTTCTTCTGCAGCAGCCACAGATATGACAATGCAGTCATCCATGGTTCTCTTAACTACACTCTAACCTCGGTGCACTGTAATCATCAGTGTTTTTCTGCACATGATCGACACTAACTGCTTTTACCAGTATTTAATTAGAGGGTCACTGTGTAAAAGTTAGGAATTCAAAACTTGTTAATGAACAGTACAGAGAAGGTATATTTGACCCTCCCAGCATCTACAGAATTGAGGAAGAGAGCATGAACTGTTCCTGTAATATTTGGTAGCACATAGTCTATTGCTGATGGAACTATGCTTTGATAATCATTGCATGTACAACAGTATTCTAGTCCTTCTATCTAACATTGATGATCTAGTAATTGTTCTAGTTTTGTATTTGAGTAACTATATTTGGGAATACAAGGCTAATGAAATTGTGTCTTAGCATACTGAATTAAACTCATTTGCTATGTAGTTTTTTGAAAGAAACATCCAGAATTTACTCTTTTGTTAAGAAATTACTGATTAAATTATGTTATTTATGTTTTATACACGTGTGTTTTCTGTGCATGTAAAAGCTAATTCCCTGAATATGAGTCATCTATTTTGTTTTATTCCTAGAGATTATCTTTTTGGTAACTCTTATTTTAACTTTTTTCTAGGATGGGAAACTATTGTGGGAACAAGAGCTATACAATAACTTTGTATATAATAGTCCTAGAGGATATTTTCATACCTTTGCTGGAGATGTAAGTCATATTTTTTTATTGTCCTGTTTAATGTAATTGTTTTTATATTTGTCTGTGGAAAGCATTTATGAGCTTTCTGTGTAAACAGTTAAAAGTAAAATAATTCTTTTTACTTTATACAAAGCTTCTTCATAGACAGTGTAGCTAAATAGGAAGAAATGTCTAAGATTTTATTTTTTTTAATTTTTATTTTTTTTAAAGATTTTATTTATTTATTTATTTGACAGAGAGAGAGAGACAGCGAGAGAGGGAACACAAGCAGGGGGAGTGGGAGAGGGAGAAGCAGGCTTCCTTCTGAGCAGGGAGACCGATCGGGGCTCGATCCCAGTACCCTGGGATCATGACCTGAGCCAAAGGCAGATGCTTAATGACTGAGCCACCCAGGTGCCCCAGAAATGTCTAAGATTTTAAAGGGCCAAAAAAAAAAAGATTCCAAAGAGTACTGTAAATATAATTTGCTATGTAGAAAAGAAATTTGGTTTTTTGCCATCTTTGTCTTTGGATAGATAGCTTAATCTTTCTGGTATTTAGTTTTCTTATGTATAAAAATGAAGTCTTAATTGCCCACTAATCCATGGTATCTTTTAAATATTGAATGTTATATTGCCATTCAAATGATTTTGTGAAAGAATAGTTCATGGCCTTGAAGAGTGCAAAAATACAATAGATGCGTATAAGGGGAGAATAGAATTTAAAAAATTTATTGCATAAACTTGAGGAAGATGGTAGAAAGCATTTCCATACTATATGCTCACAGGGATTGTCTGACTAGGTTATAGGTGATTTTAATTTTCTTTACTTGCATATTTGTATTTCCTAAATTTTGTATAATGAGAAAAAAAGTTTAGAGGATATATCTTTTCAAAAAGTAATTTCTCTAGCTGTTATTTTTCACATTTTTCTTAATAAAATATAAATATATGTACATATATAAAAGTGTGCATAAAATGCCATAATCGATGTCAGTGTGTTTCCACATTTTTAATAATTTATCTGAATTAAGGTTATAATTTAATACATACAGTTAGGCTGTAAAATAAAAACAACCTAGTGAAGATAGAGCTGACCTGCATTTGACCAACTTTTCCAGTGTTTGCCTTTAATAAAATCCAAATTACTTTGTAGAATTCTATTGAAAGATCGAATTCAATTTGCTATTTTTGTTGTTGTTGTTGAAGGTGGAGTATTCCATTTAATATTTGAATGTCTACTATGAGAGGCAACTTTTCTAATAGTAGTCTTTTCCTTTGCCTTCTCCGTGCTTTCAGTATTCTTAAGTTATTCAGATAAAATTAAAACTAAGCTATACTAAGCTCTTGTCTGCTAGTAAACTCAGCTTTCCTTCTTTAGAAATGTACTTTGTTATCAACTTTTTTATTAAATAAAGCTAGGCTCATGTTTTTTGTTGTTTACCTTTTTTAATAAAAATATTTCAGACTTGTCAAGTTGCTCTTAATTTTGCCAATGAAGAAGAAGCAAAAAAATTCCGAAAAGCAGTTACAGACTTATTGGGCCGGCGACAAAGGAAATCTGGTAAACTTTTTTTTTTTTTAATTCTTTTAAACAGGAGCTGGCAGACTGTGGTTCATGGGACCGATCTGGCCCACACCTGTTTTTATAAATAAAGTATTAGCGAGACACAGCTACGCAGTGGTTTCCATTTTGTCTGTATAATACATCTAATGGCTTGCTTTTGTGCCACAACAGTTGGGTAGTTACAACAAAGACTATATGGCACACAAAGCCTAAAATATTTATTCTCTTGGCCCCTTACAAAAAAAAAAAATGCACTACTCCTTAAAAGAAATATTTTTATTAAGAACTAATTTTTCTCAAATTTACTGAAGAACTCATTCTGATAACCTTTTTTGTTAACATTCCATGTATACTGACTCTTAAACTTGCATTTTTATGGCATTGTTCTTAACTTACATTCTTAGAATATTTAATACTTTGTGAACAAAGACTTTTTAAGCAAGCCTAGAAGCAAATAAGCGAAGTTGCAAATAAAATCTGTTAACATTGTTTTGTCTTTGTTTTGTCCCTAATGTTGTCTATTATAAAACCATAAGGAATGTAGTTTAATGCATGAGACTGTAATACATATAAAATAGAGAATGATGCAGTCTAGTATAGAATTTTAAATTTATTGATACAGAAATATTTGACAACAGTGTACTAGGCCTTTCTGTCATCAGATGGGAGAAGGGTATTAGGAAAGGTGAACCTCTCTAAAATCATCATCTTAAGAAGATCAGTTTTAGGAGAAAGGACATATGGGAGTTGCGATCACCAAATGGATCCCCTTCAGGCTAGCTATGCCGTATATTCCTGGAAAGTTTTTCTGTACATCTGGGGGTACATGTTACCACAGTTTTGAAGATCACTGTATTCCAGGATGTACTTTACCACTAAGAGGAACTAAGCCTTGAAAAAATAAGACATTGGATCCAGAAAACAGAAATGTAAAATCATGTATTCTATTTTGTATATCTTTATTGTTATTTTAATGGCTTTTCAAGAGGGAGGTGAGATAAAAAATGAAAATAAAATGAACTAAATTTTGCCTCACAATTGCCTTCTTATTATACCTCAACTGTAATGAGTAAATAGAATTATCAGGGACCTGTGTTTTTTGTTACTTCTTTTTGGGACCAAGGACATGAATTACTTGATTCCATGCTAGGAAAGGATTTTAAAGGTATAGAATAATTTATGGTTCAGTGCTCTACTTCAGTGACATAGTCAGGTCCTAGACCAGGGGCTCTCTGGGGCTCCTTATAGTCAAAATATGTGACATTTCCAAAGCAAAACAAGTAAAAAATATTTCTTAAAATATAGACTAATTGACTTTGAAATAGGAAGGTCACTTAAAGGTGTCTTTCAGCTGGTACAGGAATTTTGTTTTATGTAGTTCCTAAACTTTTAAGCATGGTGTTTCAGAAGCAGAAAGATCAGGGAGGCTGCTGATCATTGGGTAGTGCTTCATGCTAAGTCAAACTCCAGCCTCCCCTCTCTTTCTTAGATGCATGGAGTCTGACTTTTGGAGCAACAAAGAATTAGTCTGTTTTCTTTTCCTCCCAGTAGCTATTTAATATTGGAAGCCATCTATCATGTTCTCATGCCTTTACTTCTTTAGTTTAACCAGTTTCAATTTCTTACTCCTCACATGATGTAGTTTTTAGACGCATCATCCCAAATACTGTGCTCTGAATCCACTATAGATTTTTATGACTTCTTCAGATGGCCCAGATTTGAAGAAATGATTCAGCTTCAAATACTGTGGTCATATTTGAACATAGTACTCCACAAGTAGTTTTACTAGTTGATACTAAAATACCTCTTGATTTGATTAAACACTGTTCTGCAAATGTTTCAAGCAAATACCTCACACCAATGGCTCCCATTCTTCTTTGTTCAACCAAACCCTCCCTTTTTTCATAGGAATGGCTCTCAAGCCCGGTTAGTGTCTTATTTGTAAATTACTTTTTGGAACTTATCCTCTGAACTTTATATTTATCTCAGTATATTTCCATATCTGTGTTATCAGTTTAAGAAGTATTTCCTCTCTGGTTGCAGAGATAACATCACCTGGGAAATGGGAGATTGACATTCATTGACATAGATAGGACTTGCTTATGTCCACTGTTTCAGAAAGTTACTTCATCAGACCACCAGATGGAGTAATAAATTTGTGTTTCCCATTGCCAGGATTTTTTAACTTGTCCCCCAGTTAAATCCTATTAATTTTAGTTTATGGCTGTTTATAAACTAATTATTATATCATTATTTATGGGTATTTCTCTTATAATTTTGGGCAATTTTGTATTAGAAAATCTGTGGAAATTACATTTGTTTAAAATTCTTCAACCACTTTTGAATTTCTTAAAGCCAAAATGGTATCAGAGTTGGTATGTAAGAGTCTGAGTGCAAAGGATTGATAGTTCTCCTCGTTTTACTCCTTCCTAATCTTCTATAGCTTTTTATTATCATTTTGGTCTGCTTTAGTGATCGGATGTTTCTGAATATTCTCATTACCCTTGTGCTTTCATTGAGTCCCATAGCTTTGAAAACTGTCCATACGCTGATGCCCCCCAAATTTGTTGACCTTTCCCTCAACCTTCAGACTTGTTTACTTCAATTGGGCATCAGAATAACCTTCAAACTTAACATGTCTGAGCAGAACATTTGAGCCATGTTCCCTAACCCCAGTTAGACCTGTTCCTACTCCTCTCCACATCTTCCCCAACTTGGTAAAAGGCTCTGCTCTGGCTTACCATGGTCTCTCATAAATCCTATCAGTGAGTCTGTTGTCTCTGCCTTCAAAAACATATCCCGGATCTATTTCTCATCACCTTTGCTGCCTCCCCCCCAATCTAAGCCCCCATCATCTGTCATCTGGACTACCATAACTCCCTCACTAGTCTCCCTGCTGCCACTCAGTGCCCCCTACGATCTCTTTTCCACATAGTAGCCAAAGTTAACTTTTAAAAACATAGATTAGATTATGTCACTGGCCCTACTGAAAACCCTATAAGAGCTTCCTATCATGTATAGAATACAATCTGTATTCCTTACCATGGCCTGTGGCACCCTATATGATCCAGTCCCTGGGTCTCCTTCTGACTTATCTCCTTTTACTCTTCTGTTGGCTCACTCTACTCCAAGCTTCATGATGTTCCTTCATACTGTTCCCTCCTTAGGGCCTTTAAATATGTTGTTCCCTCTCTTATTTTATTCAGATGTCAGTTCCTAAGAGAAACCTTTCTTAGCCACTTATGCATTGATTTAGGAATAAGACAGAGTTTAGGAGAATTAATTTTTTATGTTGATTTTTGTATTGCGTATGTCTAATAATACTATTTTAATTTATTTTCTAACAGAAAAGAGACGAGACCCCCCAAATGGTAAGCTCTTTGATACAAATTATTGATCTAGAAGATTTTGGATGGTTGTTTAATCCTTTTAGAAACATGTATCATACATTAATACTTAATATTTAATATCTGTGATCAAATACTGTAGTTTATTGTGTCATTTTAAAATAACAAAGATGAGTCTTAGAAATGTACTATTCTTTGGCTTTTTTATAGGATGAAGGAGGATTATGTAGGGTGAAGATCACTATTACATCTTCATTCTATATTGACAATTGGTTAAGTTTAGAAACTGTATAATCTTGACTTAGTATCTTCCTTAAAGGTGGTAAATTTTGTGTAGCATACTTGTTCCCTTCTTACTTTAAGATTTGTTTTTTTCTTTTGAAATATTATTTCACACTGGTAATACGAAACTAGCCTCTGAGAATGAGCACTGACTTTAATGGTGTGTTTAGAAGTAATAGTAGCTGTATATTACCCTCCTTAATTTGATGATGAGCACTTGAAGTATTGAGAATTCATTTAAAAAAAAGAAAAACATGTATACCAGAAAGGTGTACATTCCAAAATAAAAGGGAATTCCAAAATAGAAAGGACAAAGTCCCAAATCTTAGGGCAGAGATTCTCATCCTGGACTCCATAAACCCTCCCTGAAATAGTGTGCTAAATTCTTAAGTGTATATATTTTCTCTGGGGAGAGAGGATGCAGAGCTTTCATCGCATTTAAATTGCGTCCCTGACCCTGTGGAGGTAAGGAACCATTGCTCCAGGAACCTTAATTATAATGGAAAATATGGCTTTTTTTTTTTTTAAAGCATCTCATATCCTCTCATTAGAATTTAGATAGCTTATTCCAGGAAACAAACAATATGTGACAGCTATTGATGATTGTTAGGGTTTGTTTCTCTTAATCAGATATATTTCTGATTTTGTCCTTAAATTTGTTTTCCTGATACAAAAACATGAACCAAATATTGCTGTATTAAATTTGGGATTATTTACCTTATTATAATTTTTTTTAAAAAATGACTACCTTCAGTAAGACTTAACCTTGTGCCAAGTATTATATACTTTGACTTTGTCTTTTAAGTGGAAATTTTAATACTTTTTTATAGGACTGCAGTGGAGATTATAAACAAAGTAATCAAAGTACTTAGCATAGTATAACTAAATACTGGTTATGACGAAGACAATGACAACAATAATTTTTTTAGCAGCTACTATGTAGTGATCATTTACTACCAGCCACGCACTGTCCAGCAATCTTATGAAATGGCTGCTATTATCCCCATTTTATAGAAGAGCAAACAGGGCAAAGGTGGGTAACTTGCTTAGGGTCACAAAACTAGTAAGTGGTAGAGCAGGATTCAGTCTCAAGCAGTCTAACTCCACAGCCTGGCCCCTTAATCACTATGCTATGTCCATAAGATTTTGAAGGAGAAACTGAGACCTAGACTGGGTAAATAACATGCCTTAAGTTACACAGCTGATATGAGGCAGAGGCAAAGGAAGCAGAAGCAGCTGAGTCAGAAGTCCTTCATCTGTGAACTCTTACAGCAGTGTTAGAATTTTTTTCCCTTGTTTCATGCTCAATATTTTAATCCTTTTGAATTTATTATTCTGCATTCTGTAAGCATGTGTTGAGTACCAGTGGGGAAGGCTTCTTGAAGTGGCATCTTTGGGAAAAGTAACCTGAGATTTTAAAGTGTAGATGTTGTATAAATAATATAATTAAAGTTAACAATATAAATACTTTATGGAGTTTTCAGTACATATAAAATATACTTCTGAAGAGGCACCTAATCCATGAATACACAGAATTTGGATATTCTTTTTTTTTTTTTTAAGATGTTATTTATTTATTTGAGAGAGAGAGCGAGCTCTGAGTGGGAGGAGGAGCAGAGGGGGAGGGTGAGAGGGACAAGCTGACTCTGCTGAGGTCATGACCTGAGCCCAAACCAAGAGTCTGACAGTTAACTGACTGAGCTACCAGGCACCTCATGAATTTGGATATTCTTTATGTGACAGTGGTGTCTTGCAATTTTATTACTCCCTAGTAGGAGAGGTACTCATAATTAGAGTTTCTTTCTCTGTGATTGCTCTTGGTTTTAAATCTTTAGATCTGTAGTTTTAACCCTTCAGCACAGTGATCCCAAACTTCTTTTCATTAAATGAGAGTTTAAAAAAATAGTATCATTAAAAGGCAAAATTATATGGCAGGTATTGCCAGCATTTGTATATTTCCTTATAAAATATACATATAATATGGTATTAACATACTACATACACAATAAAGGATGAAATAATTAATAGAAGTTTTCATATTTTTTTCCTGCAGTGCAGTCATTTGTCTTGCTCTCCCCACTATGTGGAGACTGCTGTTTTGAGGGCAGCATATTACTTTTCTGCACTTTGTACACTATCAGGTGCAGTGGACACCTTAACCATCTTGCTGTGTCCATGCAGGTGCTTTGTCTTAAATCCGCATTTGGATTATCAGTTTAGTAGACTTTGTCAAATTGTAACTATTAAAAAGACACTTTATGTAGAAGTAACATATATTCCTGAAATGCAATTCAGTGTCTTCCTCACTAACTCCTAATCCATACATCTTTCTTTTTTCTTTATCGGTCAGTCTCACCTTTTAGCTTAGACGCTTTCCAATGATTTGTTCTCAGCTTCATGACTGCTTGACATCAGAGGCCTCTGGGCCACCTGTTTCTCAACTATTTTACCTTGGTGAGAGTTCTCTGCTTTTTATGTTTAAGGGGAAGACTTTAGTTTGTTCTTTTAGTTCTAAAGATTAACTAGAAATGCTGTTCAGTGAGAATATTAAAAAGCCTTTTCTGTGACAGTTGTCTTTAATCAGAAAATGGTAATTTGTCATTTGACTGTTTTTTGTTTTTTTTTAAAGAAGGGAAACAGCCCCTTCCATTATATATTTACTTAGTATATGTTCTTAGGAAGAGTACAATTTCATAAATGGAATAATTAAATTAATTTTTACTAGAAGTGATTTAAGAGTATCTGTATTACCAGATCTTCCATAAACCTTATTAAAAAATGACCCTGTGCCTTACACAGGTTGTCACTTTTGAAACAGATATTTAATTGGGCTTTAGAACACCGTTTTAAACTTATTTCCAAACATCTTCAAACTCTAAAGTAAATGACTATTGTCAACAGAAATAACCAAGTACCTAAGTCCCATGATTATGTAGGAATTTTTTTTCTAAATTTTGAAAGTTATATTTATTGAATGATGAACTGTTGAACTATACAAATTGAGAGAACTGATTGGTAAGGACATGATATATGATAACATTGGTAATGTTAGCATTATCAATCACTTTATGGTTTGACTTTAGTGTAAAAAGTACAGTAGTAGTTAATAGGGTAGTAGACTAGGAACCAAGATAGCAGAGTTCACCTTTGCTTTTGTCACTAATTGTGTGACTTTAGACAGGTCACGTGACTCTTCTCATCCTTAGTTTTTATCTATAAGATGAAAAGTGTAGAAAAACACTCTGATATCTCAGCTAATACTAATTTTCTGTATATCTGTATAATTTGAATTTTCCTGTATAGACTTAAGTAATGTTTTAACCAGTACTAATGAAATTCATGTGTAATGACACTAAATAGCTAATTCAAAGGCTTTATAAACTGCGTGGCAGTAACAATATATCCACACCTCCTTTTTGGGTAGAGGGAGGAGGGGAAACACAGTCTGACTACAGTATGAGTTAAACTTTGTTATTCATTCCACATACCACTTATATTTTGTTCCTGTCTTCTTTATCCTTAAACTTTCTTCAGAGATGGCTGAACTGTTTTCTCTAGTGAGTTATGAATCAGGCTTACAAGAATCTTAACTTTATTAAATTTCCCAGAAAAGAATTTATTAGCTTGGATAATTTAAACTATTAAACTTCACTTTACCCAATTCTATTACCATTTAAAAATCCATGGTATAATAATAACTTTTATATAACCTAAAGCAGCATAAAAATATTTTCATCTTTGTTTTTTTCTAAAAACTAATAATAGTTTTGTTATTTTTTAAATGGTGAATCTGGTTGCTTCTTTATAGTTGCTCTTTGAACACCTGTTTCTGGAGGGGTGATAATGTAGAAGGAGAGTGCCTCATTCTGATACTCCTAAATCTGTCTTAAGCTAATTCTTAAATTCTATTAAGTATAAAGATAAGAATAAGTAGTGTTTTGCGGCATCTTACCATGGATGGTGTTGCTGATACTGATTTGTAAAGCTAAATAATAAGAGGGAAGGCAGAAAAGAAAGGAAGAGAAGTAAAAACAGATCAGTAGATAAGCCTTTGAGTGTGGCACCAATTTAACCCTCCAATACTTGAGTTCTGGGTATTCTCAGTAAGTCCCTTACTTTGTGAAACTCTAGTAAACACTAAAATCTGATACCTGAACAAATTTGAAAATCCAGCCTTTATCTACTATTTCATAAGCCTTCTGTATTGCATAACTAACCTTTAACTTTTGATCCAGTCATTTTTATTATTCCTTGACATTGAATCAGCATATTTTAATGGTCTTATCCATATTATTCACTAGCTTCCATTTTTTTCAAATAACAGTTTCTTTATTTCTTGCCGATATGAGCAACTTCCCATGGAATTTTATATGAAAATACAAATAGAACTTTTAGACACTTACATGTAAGTAGACTTTGAATATGGAGGGAAAATAGCTGAATTTTGGTGATGTTAAAAATACAAATCTTTCCAGATTGTTTACTTGTCCGATAAAGTGGTAGGTGGCTTTCGTAAATTTATTTTAGCTCTATTTCATCTTGAATAGTAGAGTTGAAAGAGAGAACATGGGTTATATATAATTTACCCATTTAGATAAACATTGTTCTTTCATATAACTTTAATGAATAGGCTACATTTGAGGTTTTTAATGCAGTTGAAGAAATACAGTCAAATTAGCATTTAGTTATCACCTAATATACATTAGCCTGTAATTTCTTGGGATTTCTGTTTTCCATTCTATGATTGTGTCAGGGGTCCTCAAGACCACCCCACAGCTGATTTGCTAGAAGGACTCAACAGGACCAGGGATATAGTGGGATACTCATGGCAAAGATTTACAACAGTGAAAGGATATAAAACAAAATTAACAAAGGGAAAGGCATATGGGGTTAGTCTGAGGGAAACCACATACAACCTGTACACAGGTACATACAACTTTGCCATAGTCTTCTCCCATTGGAGTCGTGGGGAATGCACATAATTCCTCCAGTAGTAAGTTGTTAAAACACATGGTAAATGTTGTCTAAAAGAGAACCTCATTAGGGACTCAGTGCCCAGAGTTTATTGGGGGTTACTCACGTAGTCCTCCTCTTTCTAGCACATACCAAGATACTAGACTCCCAGAAGGAAAGCAGGTGTTTAGCATTAAGCACATTGTTAGCACAAATAGTTGAGGCACAATGAGCCCATCTTATCAGGGAATGATAAAAACCCTCTTGCAATCCCAATTTCCAGATGCCAGCTCAGAGCAAATCTTACAAGCAGCCCTTTCTAAGATGGCAGTCTGGGGCCTGCTATATTAACTGTTTCTCTGCGCAATAGTGGTTGCATTTTATACACCATTTTGAAAGTTGTCATTAATGTACTCATCTCAGAGGAATTTTCTAGTAAGAGGTTTTGTCAGAGAATCCTATATTAAAATGGACTCTCTAAGGAACATGTGATGCCATTTATTTAGATTTATAAGGAATTTTTAAATTGAATACATTTCATTTAGACTGTCATGCTTTTAAAGCCAAGGATATTTTTGTGAATTATGAAACAGATTTTGTATATTATATTTAGTGTCACTCCTAAAGGTGCTATTATTAATATCTGAAGATGCTGGAGATTTTCACTATTGATTCTTGTGGAAGATGAGTGTTTTGAGAATTTTTCCATCTCATTTTTGAGCCCTGTACTTCCAAAGTCAAAGTGTATGTATACTGATAGGGAAAATATTATTGGACTTACGTATGGTAGTTTTGGAAAAAATAGTAGTAATAATTGTATAAGTACTTTTTTTCCCTTATGGACTAATAAAGTTGAAACAAAGAAGTAAGACTACATTTCTGTGTCAGATTAAAAAAAAGTATATGCTCTTTTTAATTTTTATTATGCTTGTTATGTCATATATACCACTTTACCAACAAGTAATGGGATGTGTGTAAGGCTATTATGGTCAAAATTTAAGGGATTTAGACCAATTAAATTTAAATTCTTATTGAAAATTTTTATTTTCCATGAGATTTAATGTTACAAAAATATAAGTTCTCTTTGAAATACCATCTATGCTAATGTGTTTAAGAATTTATTATAGGCTTTTGAAATTTTGGCAGTACTTTATCCAATATTTTATAAAAAATTAACATGCAACTTTAAAATTTAAATAATTTATATTAGTGAAGTGGTCCTACTTCAGAGAAAGATATTTAAATTATAAATTATGAGTGTAATAATTGTTATCTTAAATTATATCCTTTTCATATTGTTTTGCAGGTCCTAATCTACCCATGGCAACAGTTGACATAAAAAATCCAGAAATCACAACCAATAGATTTTATGGTCCACAAGTCAACAACATCTCCCATACCAAAGAAAAGAAAAAAGGAAAAGCTAAAAAGAAGAGATTAACCAAGGCAGATATTGGAACACCAAGCAATTTCCAGTAAGAGAGTTCTTTTGTTTTTCTTATCTTTTCATTTACTCACTGCTGCTCTTGGTTTTTACCTTGTTAGAAAATTTTGTTTTCTTTTTTGGGAGGACCCTTACATTTATCACTTGCATACTTTTTTCGCTATAGATTTTGTTGGAGTTGGGTTTTTTTGTGTGTGTATGTGTTTTTGTTTTTTTTTTCAGGCTATTGCTCAGTAAACTTCCTGTGCATCTTATAGTTTATTTACCCTTCTACTCATCAGGAAAGAAAAATCAGATTGTTTCTTTAAATAACTGTTAGACATAATGATTTCTCACTTTTTCCCTATAAATGGTATTTGGAAATTGCCTAGAGGCACTGTGTTAGTCCATTTGGGCTGCTATAACAGAATACCGTAGACTGAGTGGCTTATAAACAACAGAAATTTATTTCTATAGTTCTGGAGATTGGGAAGAGGCAGGCAAAATTTAGTGAGGTTCCACTGCCTGATTAATAGACAGCTGTCTTCTAGCTGTCTTCCTCACATGTTGGAAGAGGGCAAGAGGGACGCTTGGGTGGCTCAGTTGATTAAACGGCTGCCTTCGGCTCGGGTCATGATCCCAGGGTCCTGGGATCAAGTCCCTCATTGGGATCCTTGCTCAGCAGGGAGCCTGCTTTTCCCTCTCTCTCTCTGCTTGTGTTCTCTCTATCAAATAAATAAAATCTTTAAAAAAAAAAAGAAGAGGGCAAGAGACCTCTCTGGGGCCTTTTTTTAAAGGGCACTAATCCCATTCTTGAGGAATCCACCCTCAAAACCTAATCACCTCCCCAAATCCTTACCTCCAAATACCATCACATTGGGGATTAAGTCTCAATATAGGAATTTTTAGGGGACGCAAACATTTAGTCTGTAGTAGGCATCAAACTTTTGATATTTATTTGACATATTTTAAGCATTTTCATATACATCATTTCATTAGCTCATTACAAAGTTCCTATCCTCTCATGTATATATGCTTATATTCTTCTGCTAGTTTGACAGTTGAGGAAATGGATGCTCAGAAAGATTGTGCAAAAATGTTAAAACTCGGTTTTAATCCTGGCCTCCTGACTCCTCACACAGTTTTTCCCTGAATATGGGTATGTCTGTGAGAACTATTAGTTCAGGCCCAAAATTTATTGGTTGGATTGGATTTCATATATTTTATGTTTTAAATGCTTTTTATGTATTTTCTATTTTTTATTTATATGTATTTTTGGTCTACTTCTTTAGGCACATTGGACATGTTGGTTGGGATCCGAATACTGGCTTTGATGTAAGTGTCTTTTCAAGCCATAAATATTATTGCTGTAAATATGTGGTAATGCTGTGGCCTATGGATAGATTTTTATTATTCATTTTTGTGAATTCTAGCATTTATTTGAATGTGTTTATGTATATATACCACTGAGGTTGGAAACCTTAGTATTGTTCTGTCATTTATGGCTATGTCTGTAAAGACAAAGGTTTTATACTCCTTGGAGTATACAGTATTTATGTACTGTAATACAGAGGTGCCTGAATGGCTCAGCCTGACACTTGCTTTCGGCTCAGGTCATGATCTAAGGGTCATGAGATCGAACCCCGTGTCAGCTCTGCACTCAGCCAGAGTCTGCTCAGGATTCTTTCTCTCCCTTTGCCTCTGCTCCTCCCCTGCTTGCTCTCTCTCTCTCTCTCTCATAGATAGGTAGATAGATAAAATCTTATATACTGTAATATAAAATTCTTGTGTGTTGCCAGCCAAGAGAAGAAAATTATTTCTGCTAACTGATCATTTTAGAGGAATGTATACCAAATTACTGGAAAGTACTATAATCAAATTCTGAATATCCAGTTGTTAAATTATCTAAATCTTTTCATTCTATTCTTTTGGGTAGTTTTGTCATTATTTAATTTTTAGCACTATGAGCAAGGTAGGCAACTGCTGGCAAAAATAAGTGTTTTTAACATTTTTAATCTATTTTGGTTGCTTAAGTAATATGTATTTCACATTTGACAGATAATCAGGATTTGGAGAAATTATTTTGAAGAGAAATATTATTTGTGATTGTGGGTCAGAAATCCTTCTGGGTTTTTTTGTTATTAACTACAATGTTAACTCCACAATATTTATTGGATGCTTCTTTATGTTGGGCTCTGTACAGGATCCTGAAGTTATAAGGAGTTCCTTTCTTCAAATTTTCAAATTGACTTACTTTTTTTTATTTGTGATTATACCTAAATCTTATTTAGTTAACAGGTGAACATTGGAGATGTCCGAATCAGGAATGGGTTAGTAAAACTCTAAATGAGATGCCTTCTTTTTGAAGATAGGGAACAAAAAAAGAAAAATTTATTCTTTGTTCTTATCTTTTCTGTTTTTTAAATAAGAAAGTTTAGTTGGCTTATAAATAATCTAACCATGTTAAAATTGTATAAATTTAAAATAATTTCATAAAGGGCACAGGTGAGAACTAAATTTGAATTTGATCATGCTTATTTTTAAAAATTGGGATAGATTTTATAGTTAACAGTTACTTTATCTGTTGTAGCTGAATAATTTGGATCCAGAATTGAAGAATCTTTTTGATATGTGTGGAATCTCAGAGGCACAACTTAAAGACCGAGAAACATCAAAAGTTATATATGACTTCATTGAAAAAACAGGAGGTGTAGAAGCTGTTAAAAATGAACTAAGAAGGCAAGGTAACTTTTTTTTTTTTCTATTCAGGCATTCAAATCTTTTTTTCCTTGTGAATCTTTTGAGGTCAGTTTCGTGGAAGACAGCTACACACATTCATGTGAACTTTCCTTAAGCAGAATATTTGAATTTATAGATAAGTAGCTTGGCCTGGCTGCTTTGCATTATTTTGATATAACTTAAAATTTGATAAGGTTTTTCTTATTAAAAACTCTTCTTTGCCACCTTATTCATTTGGGCTTGCTTTTCTTCTTCCTAGTTTTTGTGTACTGGAACAAAAGCTCTAGTTAAAGCATTCTTCTGAGGAATTTAACTGTCATTTTAAATTAGGGGTTTGACTTACCTGTATCTTTTTCACTACTGATGTTCATTCGGTCTTTCATTCATTCATATATTCAGTAAACATTATTATGTCAGCACTTGTCTTCACTCAGGATATTTAGATGTAAATAAACATTTTCTGTCCTCAGAAATCTTACAGTCTAGTATGGAAACAGATACTTAAACAAGTATATAGTCAATAACTGCTATTGTAGAAACACAGTGTTAGTTTTAATGAAACTAGTGTGATGCTAATTTATCTTATTTTTTGAAAAAATTACATCTCCAGAATAGATTTTTAATAAAAACACCTTGGGCATAGCACCATTGTTGTTTTTAAATGCTCCCAGAGTGAGTCACTTTTACTATTAGTGTGTTCCTTGACTCTCTTTTTGTCCACTGTTACCACACACTTTGGCGTTACTCTACCAGATGTCGCCTGGCATCTCTCTGAGCTCTCTGAATTTTTAAGTTTATGAATCACTCTTGACGTTTACTAGACCATCCATACATCTGCCCTCAAACCTGAATTCCGGTGACTAAGAGTTGATTATATTACCCTGATTGGGTTTGTTTTTTAAACTTTATTGTGATTGCTTTTTATTTTAGCTGCTTTTAAAGGATCAAATTAGGCAAAGTCTTTCCTCAGTTGAATTACCTAAAACAAAAAAATATACAGGCATTAAAAAAACATGCTTTGGGAACAAAGTTAAATTCTTGTCATACTCAAGAACCTAACTCCCAATGTGGAATCTTTTAGACACCAAAGAATTATTTTATAGAAGGTAGATTTTTTCAAAGGAAGAGTAAAAAGACTAATGATTTATTAAGGAAATGTTTTCCAGGCAGAACATATAATGTGTTCAAAAGTATAAAAAAAATTAGAGAAGTTTATGAAGTTGCCTTAAAAATATATTTTGTAAAAAAAAATATATATGTATGTGTAGTAAAATCTACTGATCAAATCTCTTGAAACTTGTTTTGTAAAATTACGTAATCAGGTTTGTAAAAGTAGTAGACTTGTGATTTCCAATATATTTTTTGTGTGTCTGTGCAGTTGTTTGAAGGCCATTAACTCGGGTGCCTGGGTGGCTCAGTCGTTAAGCATCTGCCTTCGGCTCAGGTCATGATCCCAGGGTCCTGGGATTGAGTCCCACGTCAGGCTCCCTGCTCAGTGGAGAGTCTGCTCCTCTGTCTGCCCACCCCCTGCTCGTGCCCACTCTCTCGCTCTCTCTCTCTCCCCCTCTCTCGCCAAAATAAATAAATAAAATCTTAAAAAAAAAAAATGAAGGCCATTAACTCAATAATCTGTGTAGGTCCACCACAGTGGAGTGGTATGTATGTGGGATGTTATTTGACCCAGTGCTCTAAATTACGCATGCTTTGATATGTTTACTTTCAAAGAAGCTAGAGTTCATTTATCCTGCTTCCAAACATCCAGTGAGATTATTTGTCCTCTACTCAAACTAATTTATTTCTGTATGAGTCTGAGCTCATATTTCATCTGTACTTTAGATAATTGTAATGAAATTATGTGGGTGTTTTAAAAACACCTCTTACCCACAGCACCATTGTTTTTATTGTTGCTTATTATACTTATTCCTAGTGATTGCTTTTCACACTTGGCGTTATTTCAGTAACCTGAATAAGATATACTTAGATTTTTACATTAATTTGGGTTAGGGAGGGGGTACTTAATATAAATAAATACGGTTCTACTCAGGGAGTTGTCAGTATTCCCATAAATTTAAATTTGTGTTGAGTAGCATTTTTCTGTTTGCTTTACTTTGATGAGAGTACATGAGAGCAGTTCTTTAATGTTTCCTGAATTCTATAATACTACATTTCGTTTAAATATTAGTTATATTTATATTGCTTTATAATTTCTGCTTATTAATACCTGTAAATGTCAAATATCTAGAGAGTTATCTATTATTCTTAATGTTGATCTGCAATAATAATAATTTTTAAGTATATGAGCTTTTTTTGTAGTATAACCTCAAGACAAGGTTTTTTTCTGTAAGTGCCAGTCTTCCTTTTTAACTAAATTTTGATAGTAAGAAGTTTTATTGGTTGTAACTTTTGTTTCATATTTTTCACTTTATTTCTTTTTTAGAAATCTAAGAAGTATTGTCATTCTGATTCTTGTGTTTGTGGTGACTCATAGAGTTTTGCAAGTTTCTAGGCCATCAGATTTTCTCTTGGTCTGTCTGGTATCTGCTTAGCAGGCATATTTGTGCATGGAAACATCTAACACCCATTGTGCCCTTTCCTCTCCTTTTTTAATTCTTTCACATTTTTACGTTGGGATAAGGCATGTTTTTTGCATATTTATTTTTATGTAGAAATAATACAGACTATAAAGAAAGAGAAAGTTGGTAATAGATTTTCCTCATAAAAATAAAGAGATGTTTCCAGTCACTTTTCAAGATCATAGAAATGCTGAACTTGTGCTGTACCCAAACTGGATGCAGTTAATAATTTACACACAGTCAGTTAAGGCTTCCTTTCCCCTAGGCAATGATTTTAATGTCCATTCCAATGAATAATAGCTAGAGTGCAAATTATTCCAATAAAGGTACTTACTACAAGTTCGAAAGAACTTGTATTCTCTCTACTGAAGAAATAGATTATTTTACATATAAAAAAGATTGTGGGTTCAGAGTTCTCAATGAGACTATGAGAAATGATTTACTAATACTTTTTATAGTAGGATACGGTGAATATTTTCCTCTTAATTAACAAGTAAATCATAACTATTTGAAATATAAACCTTAGACCGATTAAAAATGCTGGAAGGAGGGGCGCCTGGGTGGCTCATTCGTTAAGCATCTGCCTTCGGCTCAGGTCATGATCCCGGGGTCCTGGGATCAAGCCCTGCATTGGGCTCCCTGCTCGGCAGGAACCCTGCTTCTTCCTCTCCCACTCCCCCTACCTGTGTTCCTGCTCTTGCTGTCTCTCTGTCAAATAAATAAAAAATCTTAAAAAAAAAAAAAAGATTTTTATTTATTTGACAGAGAGAGACACAGTGAGAGAGGGAACACAAGCAGGGGGAATGGGAAAGGGAGAAGCAGGCTTTCCGCCGAGCAGGGAGCCCATTGCGGGGCTTGATCCCAGGACCCCGGGATCATGACCTGAGCTGAAGGCAGACGCTTAATGACTGAGCCACCCAGGCGCCCCAATAAAAATCTTTAAAAAAAAAAATTGCTGGAAGGATTTGATGTACTGACCCTATTCAGAGTGTACATAATACATTTATGTCATATCCTCCTGGTTTTGCTCTTTTATTAGAAAATATGTTCGAAAAGGACTTTGCTTTTAGCAAGTTTAATAAGTCTCCTCACTTTGGATCCAGTGAGAGAATTGGGTGGACCTTAGCTGCAACACTCAGACCTCCAGTGTGCCTTGAATGTAAATCATAGGAACTTCCCTCTGTGATGGCTGACATCTAAGTGGGGTAACTCTCCCGTTTGCAGATATATATTATTTCTACTTTTAAAAGTTTGTATGCAAGGAGACAATACCCTGTGAGTATTGGTCTTTCTGCATATTTTATCTAATGTTTATATTTGGTAGCATATTTCCCATGATTGCCCCAAGTTAAATTAGAAGATACCTTCTATTTCCTTTGAAATGAGGGCTTTTTTCCTTTCTCTGGTATCATTGTATTATTGAACATCTAAAGGTACTTGTTATTTGTAGTTAGGGTTGGCATTAGTATTTTGTAAGATTGTAGAACTATCCCTCAATAATATAGTTTATATCAGTAAATACAAATGGTTTTTATGAATTCTAGGATTTCTCTACTCCTAAAAATAGTCCATTTTTCTCTAGTCTTTAAATGAATGGAGAAGTAATGAAGTTCATTATTATGTAAATTTGTGTATACTGTTGGTAAAATCATGCCTCCAGAAATATAATAAATGTGTACCTTGAATTTTTTCCTTGTTATATCTTACATTTTTACTTAAGTAGAAAAAGAATGTGAATATCATTAATACCAGAATAGTCTTAATTTTTATTAATAACCTTAGTTCGGTTTCTCAGTGTGTAGAAATTCTGTTAATTTATTAATAGTTGTGTCTTCTGAATAAGTAGTTGAATATTTCACCTGAGTAAACCTCCCTTACTGCCATCACTAGAATAACTGACCATCTTGTATAGAAAATAGAAGACATGAAATATAAACATAAGGTGGCAAAGGTTTAAAATTTTAAAAGAAAAAGTATTCAGTTTGGGTTTAGCTCAGATTAACTTGAATAAACTCTGGTATGTTATGCTACATCAGCTATTTAATTCTGAATGTAAATTAATTTTATAAAATAACTAAAACTCAGTTCTTTAAAGAGGGAAGGTATCCATTAATTTTTATGAAAATGTTAAATAACGCTAATTGACCAAAGTGTTTAATTTTGTTGTGATATTTTTGTTATTTAAGAAAATGCTTATTCCCTTACCTTCAGAAGTGATGCTGATTCCTAAAAACTAAATTCTACAGTTTTAGCTAATATTTTTCAAGAAACGACAAGAAGGTGCTCTTAAGTTGAGTATTCCCAAATAGAATGATACCATCTGTGCTCACATATCTTTGTAAAATAAGATACAAAGATGAGGCCTTTTTTTTTCTCATATAATTTTTTTTATATATGTTGAAGTAAGTTTTTTTTTCCAGTATGATGTTTGTGGGGGGAAAAAGTATGCTTTCTTTTTTTCTGTTTTTATTTCAGCACCACCTCCTCCACCACCATCTAGGGGAGGGCCGCCTCCCCCTCCACCCCCTCCGCATAGCTCAGGCCCTCCCCCGCCTCCTGCTAGGGGGAGAGGCGCTCCTCCTCCACCACCGTCTAGAGCTCCCACAGCTGCACCTCCACCACCGCCTCCGTCCAGGCCAGGTGTAGGAGTCCCTCCACCGCCGCCAAATAGGATGTACCCTCCTCCACCTCCAGCCCTGCCCTCCTCAGCACCGGCAGGGCCTCCACCACCACCTCCGCCTCTGTCATTGGCGGGGTCAGCAGCACCGCCCCCGCCCCCACCCCCACCCCCTCCACCGGGGCCGCCACCTCCCCCTGGCCTCCCTTCTGATGGTGACCATCAAGTTCCAACTCCTGCAGGAAACAAAGCAGCTCTTTTAGATCAAATTAGAGAGGGTGCTCAGCTAAAAAAAGTGGAACAAAACAGTCGACCGGTATCCTGCTCTGGAAGGGATGCACTTTTAGACCAGATACGACAGGGTATTCAGCTGAAATCTGTAAGTAATCTCTTCTTTTCAGTTTAGACTATCTGTCCTAATGGAATTTTTAAAGTAATTTATAAGACAACTTGGAAAGTCTTTATTTCACTTTTTGCTCTTTCTCTTGGTATTCATCTTTTTAACCCTTTGAATTTCTTATATTTTTACATACGGTAAAACACACACATTTATACCTATACCAGTGTAACCCATACTTCTGTAATCGAAATATCACCCCAGAAAGTTCCCTCATGCCTCTTTCCAGTTAGTCCCCCTTTCAAAAAGATCACCAATCTGGGGCGCCTGGGTGGCTCAGATGGTTAAGCGTCTGCCTTCGGCTCAGGTCATGATCCCAGGGTCGTGGGATCGAGTCCCGCATCAGGCTCCCTGCTCCTTGGGAGCCTGCTTCTCCCTCTGCCTCTCTCTCTCTCTCTGTCTCTCATGAATAAATAAATAAAATCTTTAAAAAAAAAAAAAAAGATCACCAATCTGATTTCTGTCACTGTAGATTAGTTTTGCCTGTTCTAGAACCTCATGTAAGTGGAATATTCCAACATGTTTGCTGTTGTTCTAGACTTCACTTCTGAATAAAATTTACTTTAAAATTTAAAGAAAAATCTTCAAACTATAGAAAAGTAAACCCTACTTATAACCAATTGTAATCACCTTGGTAAGTTCAGACCATTACCTTTATGAAAACTAAACTGTATTCTAAAGTTCCTGTGTTCTGAAAATTAGATTAGTAGAAAATCCAACTCTGCAGAAAAAGGAAAGAAATCTCTGTACTGGATGAGGCAAAAGTGGGCAAACTGGTTTTTTTGAAAGGACCACATAGTAAATATCTTAGGCTTGCAGGCTATGTGGTCTCTGTCACAACTACTCAGTTCTGGTGTTGTGCCATGAAAGCAGCAGCATTGACGATGCATAATTGAATGGGCATGGTTGTGTTCTATAAAGCTTTTTTTAGGGACACTGAAATTTGAATTTCATATAATTCTCACGTGTCACAAATATTATTATTTTGATTTTCTTCCAGCCATTTAAAAATGTAAAACTCATTTTTCACCCTAAAAAGTTCTACAAAAAATAGGACACACTAGGTTTGGCCCATGGGCAGTAGTTTGCTGACCGCTTTTCTAGAGCCTAAACTGCCTGCATTGACATAGTTCCTTCTGAGAGTATATGTAGTCTGTCAGTTCCAACAGGAACATTTGCTCTGCGGGGCTTCAGACAGGTAACGGACAGTAGATTTTTCTATGCAGTAAATAAAGATGAAAGAAGGGGATTTTGATTGAAAATTATTTTGTGACCTAGGGAATTATGGTAACTTTCTCAATCACCAAAACTTTAGCTAGGAAGAGAATGGTGGATATGGAACACAGCTAATTGAATGAAAACATTTAAACGTTGGCATAGCACAGATTTAAAAAACTCTGATCTTTAAAATATATCTAGAGCTTTTTCTTACCACGTGATTAAGCTGTCTGCTCCCTCTCCCCCTTTAGTTTAGACTAAAGGTTTCTCAGGAACAGTTAAAGAATTTTGAACAGTTGTTAGTGGGAAGAATTAGTGTCAAAATGCCCACAGCCACGGTGAATAACAGGTTTTAATGGAGTCATTTTCAATCTTGTAGCTTAGAATCTGTGCCACTTATGTGTCACTCATTCCCACATCTGCCACTCTTAACTTACCTTTTGTTTCTCTTTCCTCTCTCTTCCACAGTCAACTTTGTTTCTTTCTCTCATTTGCTGATACTAATAAGGTGTTAAATTTAATGAATTAAGTTGTCCTCTTTTTTTAATTTAAAAAGTTGCTAAATAAATTCCCTATTTATTTTCCCCATCATCATTTCTTCCCATCCCAACTCTCTCTCTGTCCAAAAAAACCCTGTAAATTGATCTCTGCATTTCTTTTAGAAAAAGAAATGTGTGTTCCATTCTAAGTGTAGGCCATCCTTACCCTAAATAATCACCTTTTTTTTTTAAATTAACTGCTGAGTAATATCCTAGAGGGCATAAATCAGTGAATGATTAGCATGTTATATATGTGATCTGAGTCCATAATTGTATTTCCTTTTTAAGAAACCATTCTGTGGTTGAAATTTCTCTGTTTCTTTAAACAGTCTATATAAATCATTTATTCAGTGATGAAAATTACTAACATAAGATCACAGATTTACTTTAAAGAGCTGGCAGGAAAGGTGTAAGTATTCACTTGTATATATTTTGAATTCCATGTTCATAGTACCTCGGACAGCACCATGTCTAAGTCGGTGCTTTAGAAAATGTGTTTACAGCAGTGTCGTGCTCCTGCAGTGCTCCCTGCCTAGTATTACCAGCTTGCTTACGGGGAGTCTGTTTCTCCTTATTGCTGCTATACTTCTTTGAGAGCCTCATGATGGCATTCAGAGCTCTGAAACTATTTCTGTTGTCTTTTTCATTTGTGGCATTTCTATACCAGTAATAGTTAACATCTGGTCTCTAAAAACCTAAATACTAATGAATGAGTCAGTATTTTATGGGGACTTACTTTGACTATTTTTAAAAGAAAAAGATCTGTAAATCCAGAAAGACAAATAGTATTAGGAGAAGAGCTGTGAAGACCAAAATAAGAAGTTTGCCATAACAAAGTAATTTTTGGTGGGGGGGGAATGACTTAGAATTGAAAAGAAACAGCTGTGTGATTTCATTTTTAATTATACCAGTATTCTACCTTTACAAAGGTAATATAATTCCAGAGACAAAATTAACACAATGAATATTTTGTATAAATGACTGTTCATTTTAGTCAAAGTACACTTAGAGGAGTACTTTCTAAATTTTTTTTCCCTGAATCTCAACAGATTTCCTGTATTCTCTCTTTTTTAATGAGAGTTGGAATCAGGGAGTATTTTGTATAGAAATTAGATTTTAATGAGACCCCTTGAGGTTGATTTTTTTTTTCCCCCTTGAATGTAGTTTATACTAGATAGAAGTACTTTAGTTAGGGATAGTTGGTTGCCTCGTGAGGTAGGTATATTTTGAAAGCTACATAACTGATCTCCTTAAAGAGATTAACTTCTCATAATGCTATGAGAAAGAAAATTCATTTTGAGTTAAAATTATATATAGGTATAAATATAGTATATAAGGTGATAAAGCTTGTCAGTAAAGCTGAGTTTTTCTAGGAGAGCAGAAGTCTCTTCATTTGCTCTTAGATATCTTAAGTGTCCTCACCTAACAACTCCAGGAATCTGGACATTACCTTAGTTTTGTTAAAATGATGTTCCTTGATAATAGTTTTAAAGTTTCATCAGCTAGGGCTTTGTGTACTAGAATGAAAATGAACAGAAGTAATCCATCTGCAAGGACAAGTATTATTTAGGGAAGGGTTTGTTATTCTAATAACAAATGTGTTGTTGGCTTTATACATTAAGGAGTATATGAATGATTATTTTAAGGCAGCAGTTTATTTCTTCCTAACTTAGTTAATCCTGTCCTGGATTTGTGTGCTCTTTTTTTTATCCCTTTCCTTTTTTTAAATAGGTAGTGATTCTAAAAACGTAAGACTTTCTGGAGACAAAAATTTTTTGCTAAGAATTTATTTCTAAATTTTGCTAACTTTCTTTTCCAAGGTATCTGATGGCCAAGAGTCTACACCACCAACACCTGCACCCACTTCAGGAATTGTGGGTGCATTAATGGAAGTGATGCAGAAAAGGAGCAAAGCCATTCATTCTTCAGGTATATTTACATGTACATATGTATATTTAATTTTAATATTTGAAGTTCTATTTTCTTTTGATTTTATGATAGTCTTTGCTAGCTTTTCCCCTGCTGTTGAGTAACACTGAAGTGGATTTTAGGACAAATTTTTTAAAAGTTACTGCCACTGTGACTAGTCTGTCTGAAGCTTAATGGATTCCAGGACACCATAGCCTTATAACCATAAATTGGAAGAACAACTTCAGAGAAATAGTTTCATTTCCTATACTGGAAATACTAATAGAATGCCTGGCAAATCTCTAAATTAGGCTTGAGACTCTGGATCTCATTCCTGTGACATTCTTGTGACATGAGAAATTCCGGTTTCCCTGATTTGTGAGAATCAGGGCAGAGAAATTGGGTTTTCTGGGATTTGCTAAAGTATTTTGAAGTTTTTTGTGTCCTCTTGTGGTTTCCTAAGAGGTTTATTTGAATAAACTTATCCCTATTCTGAGGCCATTATTAAGCATATGTATACCACCATATAAGTGGATATTACTTTCAAAAGAGAAAGCAGTGGGTCTTGATATAATGCTTGAGGTTTACTAAAGAGCTTCCCAGCATGATGGACCAGAATCAGATCTCTGTTCTTATTAAATCTATTATTTACCCTCTATCGACCTCAGTTTTCTTATTTGTTATGTGGAGAGAATTCATGAATCATGATTGATATGAAGAATAAATAAAATAATATGTAACTAACCAGCAGATTACTTAGCACATAGTAAGTGCTCAATAAATGTCATTTTTCTTCTCTGTGTTTCTCTGTAAGAATGTGGATATCTAGGATCTATTACCAATATTTATTTTCCTTAAATAGACATATTTATTCTCATACTATGTGATAAAGAGAGAATAGGCTATTTCATTCTGCAAATATTTATCATGGAATAATAATTAAAAAAAAAAAATCCCTGCCTTCATGGAGCATGAATGGATGCATTGGAGACAAACAGTAAACAAAGTTAGAAAAATATATGTTAAATGGTGATATGTGCTAAGGACAAAAATTAAGCAGAAAGGGAGATATAAGGACTTATAGGATGTGGGAGGGAAGTTCATTTTGAAATAGGATGAGGCCTAACTGAGGTGACATTTGAAAAAGGACCAAGAGTTTAGGGAGTAAGCCATACAGAAAACTGGGGAAAATGTGTTCATTCAGATGGAAAGAACAGCAAATGCAAAGTCCCTGAGGTTGAGGAACATCAATGAGGCTGGTGTGGCTGAGGAAAGAATAGGAAGGTAATGAAGTAAGAGAGATGGTAGGAGGCCAGTAGTAAGGCTTTGGAGGCCATGAATGTGATGGGAAGCCACTGGAAGGTCCTTAGCTGAGGAATGGCAATAATCCAAGCAAGAGATAGCAAAGGTTTGAATCAGACTGGTAGCACCAGTGAGCTGGGATTGGATACTAGGTATATTTTGACTGTGGAGATCCTTGAGTTTGCTGATGGGTTAGAAGTGAGGTTTGGAAAAAAGAAAGGAGTGAAGGATGACTCCCAAGATTTTTGACTTGAGCATGAAAGGGGTGAAATTTCCATTAACAGAGTGGGATAAGATTTAGGAGGAGCAGGTTTGAGAGGAAAGATCAGGAGATTGGTTTTTGTAAATATTAAATTTGAGATACTTACTAAAAATTCAAACGTAGATGTTATGCAGGCATTTGGTTATGAGCCTGGAGTTGAGGGGTGAGGTCTGGACTGTTAAAATAAATTTTGCATGTCATTAAAATAGGCGTGGTATTTAAAGTTACAGAATGGGATGGGATCATTAAAGAAGTGGATATGAAAAGAGAAGGTGTAATAAGGTCTGAAGGCTGGAGAGTGCAGTGTCTTAGAAGCCACATGAAGTGTTTGAAGGAGGATGGAGTGACGATCTGGGTCAAATGTATGTGATCGGACAAGAAAGCGAGAACAGGAAATTGAGCTTTAGCTTTAGCAACAGTAGGTTATTGGGGACCTGGAAAGAGCAATGTCATTGGGCTCAGGAGAGAATAGGGGGGTAGGAAGGGAAGGCTGGGTATTTGGACTGCCTGCCCTGTTCCTTAGTGGCTCAGTGTCCTCAGTATCAATGAGTTTCCTGCCTGTCACTAGAATTATAACTGGAATTGGTAGCTGAACAATCAGGTGTATTTTTTACAACTTTTCTTTAAAAATAGTCATTAAAGGGGCCACTCTTGGATTTGAGATGTGTGAAAATTCAGAGAGGCCAACACAAATGTGGGTTTTCATATAAAGAAACACTGGTTGAAATTCACTACATAGATACTACGGAACTAGAACCCAAGTCTTCTGACTCCTGTTCTAATCTTCAGCTGACCATCCTACTCTTTAGATGTATTTTATTTGATTCATTTTAAATTGTCCTAGTAACCAGATTCCTCCAGAATCGAATGGTTTTGTTTCAGAAGTTAAATAATTGGAGGAATCATCCAAGAATCATGTAATGTTATTTTATTTATACATATGTTTTGATTGTTTGCCTTGGTGATTTTTTTCCAGATGAAGATGAGGATGAAGATGACGAAGAAGATTTTGAGGATGATGATGAATGGGAAGACTGATCTATATATTATATATATATATTTTTAAGGTGAAATACTAAACACTACTTTCTGTCTATGGATTCTGTAAAATTATCATGTAAATGTTCTACCAACTTGCTGTATATTTTTGTTGCCTTTTTTGCTTTTTTTTTATTAATCTGTGCAATACCTCATTTAATCTGTAAAGGTTTGTCAAAATCCTCTACAAAGCTACTCCCTGTTATTGTGTGCAAGTTTACACCAGGATGCTCACTTAATTTGTGAATATTTTTCATTCCATCAACAAGGGAGTTTAAATATTATTTGTGAGACTGACAAAAACCTTAATGTAATTTAGTTATAATGCCAGAAGGAAAAACACTATTTTCATACCCTACTTTTTCTGTACCTAAATTTTCTTATTAAAATCTAGTATAGCACTACATTCTTTTTTAAGTGATACAGACCTTAGTTTATTTAGCCCCTTCATTTTGAACACCATGCTACATGAATGTTGAAGCTGACACATTGCACAGTTCTCTAGACATCACTACACTGATGCAGTTTCTCAAGTTGTAGCAGTATGCTCTGCATAATGTCACTACAGAGACGCTAGTTGGGAAAATCAGTAACACACCTCTTAGAACAATATTGCCTGTTCTTGTACAGAAGTGGTATTTGGAGGCTGGAATCATAAGGAGACCTTGCATACCTGTACTTGTCTGAGATTATTTTTATGCTATAGCAAATGTGTCAGGCTCTTTTTAGCAAAAATTTAAAAATATTTTTGGTATTACTCTTAAACAGTTTAAGTTTTTGCAGTTTGGGGGATTCTAGGGCTAATATTCTACTTGAACTGAAGGAGGCTATACATTATGGTTACTTCAGTATCTGGTTAAATACACTATAAAAATTAGAACCTTATAAAAATGATGTGGAATTATTTTTATTGTGTAGTCTGTGTGGATTGAGGTATTCAGAAATACCAGCCATACAAATCGAATCTAGCTGGCAAAGGTAAACGCTGTAATGCTGAACCTATTACGCTATTTAAAATTTTTATAATTTGTCAAGGTTTTTGTCAAATGTCAGGTGAAGGGTTACATTTTTCTTAAAAGATTGGTGGTCCCAGTGTCATATTTCTTGAAACACATAACTGAATGATAGATTCTTTTTTTTAAATAAAACTTTACAACCTGCACATTTGTTATGTATACTAAATGATGTGTTAAAATTAGGGTTTCCTTGCCTCTCTACAATACACTAATCTGCCTAAAGGTGGTTGTTTTCATATTTATAGTGCTAATTATCATACCTACCTACTTTAAATTTTAGGTAGGAAAATGATCTGATTTAAATACAGACACGTATTTTTCTCACATTGAGTCATACGCAGAATGTAGTTCCAAATGTATTTCAGTACTATAATCACAATATCCAACTAAAAATTAAGCTCTCTAGAATTGTACCGACCAAAATCTGGTATTTGGCATGATCTTGACAGGCTGGACCTGCAAGATATGGCTTGAATTTTAACCAGTTATCACATAATCTCTAATGATCATCTAGTTATCATAAATAATTTAAAAGGTTTTGTTGCTGAAAGCAGTAAGTGGTGCAGTAAGATAGTTAAGTTATTCAAAGAATGTTACCTTTCTTGCAAGAGTAATTTAAATACATGGGAAAGATTCTAGACTTTTTGTTTCTTGCAAAAACAGTGCCCTCTGCTGCTAGAAACCTTTTTCTGCTTACTCTCATTTTTATCGTGGCTTGAGCTCAGTGACACTGAGTCTGGTGTGGATGAGGCTGGACAACTACTAACCAATAGAGTTAGGAATTTGTGCAAATGGTAAATAGAACATTATAATTATTTTAAGTAATATTAAGCATCCTCCTTTTTTTCATTTGACATTATAAAAAACATTTTAAATATCCTAGAAATGTCTTTAAGGTAATGCCAGTTTAAGATCTCTCTTAACTTTTGGCCAAGGAATTCAGGGTTTTCCAGCTAACTTCGGTGTGATAAATATTTATCAGGAGCTGCTCTGAATAAAAGGATATCAATTCTTTGAGTTGGAAACAATTTTAAACATGTAAGATGGGTATAAAATTTGCCAAAGGTAATTGAGTTTATTCTTCTTGAGGAAAAAAAGGCTTTCTGTTATTGTTGTTGCACAAAGTCTAAATTACTATTGGTTGAAACACAGCAGCTGTGGAGTTCAGTCCAGGCATGATGACTAGATCCACTGTAGATGTAAAGGTTGCATGTTTCGGTCCTCCACCACCTTGCACTGTGGGCAGCACTATACCTGTGCGTTGTCTGAAAGCCTCCCATATATTCTGCAGCTAAATGATTGTCTGATAGCCTTCGCATTTAACAAACTTAGCATGAGGCTTTTTATATGCTACGTGATAGACAATTTCAGCTAGCCACATATTGTATGTGTGAGATTCATAAAGACTTTTCAATCATTCATTTCCATTTATCAACTGAAATTTTGTTTAGTATGTGAATTTTTTTGAAATGTATAGTGATAGGATGTTGCACTGGTGGCAATTCATCATGGAGCATAATAAAATTAATTTGACCCAAATAGGCTAAAATGCTGTGTTTTTCTTTATTGTGAATAGATTAAAATGGATAAAAACATTTTTTTAACTGTAGATTATAGTAAAGGGTACACAGCAGTGAATGATGATGGTTGAAGTTTTCAGCAGACTGCATGCCCTGAGAGAGTGTGCCATTAAATAAACACGGTGAGCAAAAAGAATGTTACACCCTGTTCTGCTGGGAAATGGGACAGCTGCTCAGCTCCCTGGAAGCCACTGCTGTGGTATACAGAGCTTTCACATTGCAAGGTCAAACTGGAGCTGTTTGGCATACTGAAAATGTTGCAGTTCCCTAAAATCAGAATGATACTGCAGTTTACTGGTCATTTCAGTAAAAGCTAAATACAGCAGTTCATGTGGGACTTAAATAGCTCTTAATCAATGGTATCAAAGATGGTACATTAAACAGGAACCTCAGTTTTGATAAATAGAATTTTCTGTGCTGTTGACTTTGGCACAAGTGGGTGTCTGAAGATTAAACTGAGTTATGGAATCTAGTGTGTAGGATGCTACAAAATGCCTTCTAAGAACTTTAGCCAAATTTAAACATTTCAATATGTTCTATTAAAAATTTGTTTCTGTTGTACAAATGTGAACACTTAAGAATGTATTAACCAAACTTTTAAAAAAAATTTTTTTTGAGAGACAAATGCCTCAGAATTGCACTTGTCACATTATATTTATCTAATCAAAGGAGAAATTCCTGAAATAACTTACTGTCCTTTAGAAATGGAGTTCTTAAAGGACAAGTATAGAAATAAGGTCTATTTATATACAATAGAAAATTCTTTATGGAAAAGAGAAATTTCACTTTGCACACTTATTTTACTGGCATTGTTAGATTTTACCTCCAAAATACAGTATTCTCTTATAATCTCTTAGAGATTGATGGATTTTTTTTTTTTAACCTTTGCTTTTTAGTGAAGCCCCTGGAAAAAGGTGTAATAAATTGGGTGTTATGGATGTGATGGGGAGCATACTTTGCAGTTAATGCTAAGACTGCCTTTACGTCTACATGTGATACATGTATCCTCCTTTGCATGAAGGAGCCCGTTGAAAATTTTGGCTTTATAACAAAACATGTCTACATAAATCAGCCATATCTTTTTTTTTTTTCGTCTATATCAGTGGTCATCCTAACTATTGATGCAGTATTTAATTTCACACAAGTCCAGTGTAAATCTAAACTGGTCTGTACCACCATCAAGATTGACAAATCAATATATGAATAGCACACAATTTTTTTTAGTAAAATTTAACAGTTAAGCTTATAGGTGGTTTTTAGGTTAGTGAGGTATTTGTGTATTGGGGAATTTCTAGTAAATTTGAAGTCCCTTAATTTTTTAACAACCACAAACTTTTTTTTTTAAGATTTTATTTATTTGAGAGAGAAAGAATGAGAGACAGCATGAGAGGGAGGAGGATCAGAGGGAGAAGCAGACTCCCTGCCGAGCAGGAAGCCTGATGCGGGACTTGATCCTGGGACTCCAGGGTCATGTCCTGAGCTGAAGGCAGTTGCTTAACCAACTGAGCCACCCAGGTGCCCCCACAAACATTTTTTGTACTTACTTTAGTAAGGATTTTCTTTAGATTCTCTATTCAAGACGAAGTTCCATTTTAACAGTATCAAATTATGTTATGGAACTGGAATTTCCAGGTGTCATATTGATGTCACTTTCTGTCTTGGACTGGTTGGCATGTCTTGACCTGAATTCAGTTTTATCTTGGTTATGGCTAGATGTGTGAGGATTTTCATCCAAGCCCAAGTCTAAGAATTTTTAAGCATCAATATCGCCATATTTAAACAATTACTTATTAAGACTAAATAGGTGATGGACATTAAAATATAATTGCAGTCAGGTAGATCCCCTCCCTCCTTACACTAAAATACTTCACAGCTGAAAGACAGCTGCAGACCATCGAGTTCCATCAGGCCAACTCTCATCAGACTGGTAGAGGGGCTCGCCTGAGTTCTGTTAGAAGGAGCTAATACTAGAATTCAGCTTTGACTACTAGTTCAGTTGCTTTTTTCTGTGCATCATAATACTTTTATCCTTGTTTTCTGTATTTTTCTTAAATTACCAATAAGTTGCAGATTTACTTTGCTTCTGAAAGATTTATGGCTATAAATTTCACTCTTTCGCACTTGTCATCTGGGTGTTGATAGAAGCCACTGGCATCGTGTTCTCGTCTCTGCCGAGGAAAGCTGGCTTGCTTTGAGGAACCGGCCTCTGACTCTGAAGCATGTGATCGTATTTTGGCTCAGTGATGGCGGACACCCTACATTGTTCAAGCATTCGGTCATCACAGGACGCTCTTGTCATTTAGTGCTGGGTTAATAAAATTGAGCTTTATATTCTACATCGAAATTATTTTTGTTTGTTTCCTATGGATGTAAAGAGCATTGCCTTTATTTAGACGTAAGTATTTTGTAAACCCTTAACACTCAACTTGCCTGACAGAAAATCGGTTTGAGAATGTATTAATCTTTCTGTATAATTTTCAGTCAACAACTGCACTGTCAAAGACCGGGAGTTCTTCCAAGAGGACAGGGACAAACCGAACACTTTAAATCCAGCTTCCTGGTTTTCTTATTAGTGAGAGGGGAGATTCTAATTTAGTAGCATGTATTTCATCCTTAGTGAAAAAAACGCAGGAAAATAAAGCTTGTATTCCAGTGTTGGTAGTGTTGAAAGAAACAAATTAAGTGAAAGGAAAAGGCATCATCAGGTCCAGTTAACTATAGGAAGACATAAAGCTGCTCATAATGTCTCAATTCTGTAGAGATCTGTTAAGGGCTTCTGAGCCTAAAAAGAAACAACTTTATTTTTTTAGTTAGTGTGGGAGTCTAAGGAAGCAGAGAATAGAAAGGAGAATTTGTTTGCAAGCAGATTTTTATTTAAAGATTGGGATTGGGAAAACATTTAGCAAGTAAAATTAAGTGTTAAAATCTCCATTTTGAAGGGTGATAACTAGTTAAGAAGCTAATGAAATCGGGTATTTGGTTTATGTTTGCTTATTAAGCAAGGATATAGGGGTGCCTGGGTGGCTCTGGTTAAGCATCTGGCTCTTGATTTTGCCTCAGGTCATGATCTCAGGGTCTTGGGATCGAGTCCTGCCTTGGGCTCTCAGCATGGAGTCTGAGATTCTCTCTCTCTCTCTTTCTCTCTGCTCCTCCCACTCACGCATCCCCTCTCTCTCTGGCTCTCTCTTCCTAAGATAAAATCTTTAAAAAATTTTTTTTAAATTCTAAAAAAAATAAAAAGGCTATAAATGTAGAAAAGCCATCTTTTTTTTAATTGCATATTCTGCTAAAACTTAAGTGACCTTGTTTTGTCCCTGGTTGAATGCTTGGATGCTATAGAACATGTTTGTAAGGACCTGATGCCTAAAAATGTTCTGAAAGTTTGAGTTGATTCTGAGCCAGACAATTGCTTTAGGTCTGCATCACCAGAGCCCAGACGTTTACAGCCACCATGTCTGGGTCAGTCTGATGTGGTTTAAGCCATGAGACTGGGTGTGGAGAGCTCCGTGTGCCACGGAGCCCTCTCAACATCCTCCTGTTATTTTCCACTTGCATCACTTGGTTTTCCAGAACAACAGAAAACCTGGTTTGATGGCAAGTCGCTGTATTATTTTTCATAGATGTTTCTTCCTTTCCCAACTCTAAATATGAAGCCGAGCATCATGCCACCGAGAAAAAAGGCAGGGAGAAACAAGTACGTTGGGCATTTGAGTTCAGTCTTGACTTTGTCAAGCTTACTTTTCTAATCATTATGCACAGTTAAACTCAGATGGGATTTGGCGGGTCATTGGAAAAGATAGGATAACTTGGGGGGTGGGGAATGTGGTATTTTTTCCACTGCATGGCTGGTTAACACAGGTGTAGCATTTTCTTCGTATCTGGGTCTTGGTTTGCGATGCATGGTAAGTTAGAATTGCAGTAATGACTCCACACACAAACTACTTGATATAATAAAGCAAGTATCTTTCAACACTTGGAAACCACTGCTGTATCTTCACGGTGACAAGATACGCCACGAAACTGAGGATAGGGATGGGCAGTGTAAAAACTATGCAGGAGTTTTTTGAGAGTTTTTCCCCAAAAAGCTTCCAAATACACAAGTTTTTTTTTTAAATATTAATAGGAACTGGTGACTAAAGCAAGAAGGAACAGGAACATAAGGAAATGTTCTCCTGTATCAAGTTCCCGAGTCTTCAAAAATTCCGACATCTTATTTTCGGAGCTACTGGGTGAGTGCACTTGAATGCAAGTGTTATTATCCTAATGTCCTATACTTAGCCAAACTACTTAAAATGAATTATTGTTACTGTAAATTGGAAGTAGGCCCCAGAATAAAACAAATCTGTTGTTTTGTACTAATATATCTCTAGATCAGGAAAATAGAAATTCACGTGGCCACATAATGCTAAGACCCACTGAGAAATCAGGCTCCCCACCTCCCCTGCCAACTTTGTAACAGGTAGTTCATTAAATCACCTTGATATAGTTTAGGAATGGAAGGTGTGCTCATGACCGAACATGAAAGAATGGCCGACAGGCATGCATCAGTAAAACAGGAAAGGAGGCTGGAAAAACCTTGACACTGGATGCTGGAGATTCTCTGGTGTGGCTACCAATGCATGTGAGCCCCTTCCAAACCTGTCTCAAAATACAAGGTCTGCTCTAGCAGGTCACTGGAGATGCAACCTTAGAGCCATTTAATGTTATTTAAAAAACTGTCTTTGTGTTAGTGGGCATGAGCAGGAACATTTATGTATATTGATGTATACAAAATGTATTCATGGAACCACCTGACCTGCAGAAATTAGCTTGCCCAGGTAGGAGAAGGAGGAATTAGTGCACAAGGACTTGACTGGCTCCATTTAGATTGAGAACTAGCATTTGAGCCATAGGTCAGGATTTGTAGAAAGTTTACATTAATGCACTCAGCCTCTAATGAGAAAATTTGGGGGGAAACAAAATGATAAGGAAAAGATTTATATTTGTAATCATTACCCACAAGACTGGCAACGCCTCAAATGGTGAAGACTTAGGCTAGTTTCAAGGTTTGCCGATTACTGGCTACTGAAAACAGGATTGTTAATATCAGTCTACTGTATAATTTATAAATATGGCTAGAGTTTAAATAAGTCATTGATATAACATAGGAAATACATGTATATCCTTTAAGAGTTGTCAGTGCTAAGTCAGGATTTCTCCATGGCTTGTTTTTCTTTTGTAATCGGGGAAAACGACCAACCATTAGGCATGGCATTTTGGGCATGCAGGCTGTCAATATCCAACATACTGTTCCGCAAAATGTAGGTGCTGACAACATGTAGACTGTAATCTATTTCTTCTAAAATAAGTGGCCTGGATTA